CATCATCACCACCATTCACCACCACTTCCTCACCACCATCATCACCATCATCATCATCACCATCCCACCACCATCACCACTCATCACCACATCATCACCACCATCATCACCACCATCACCATCATCACCCACCATCATCACCCCCATGCCACCATCTCCCACCATCAACCACCATCATTCACCACTCCCCTCACCACCATCACCACCCATCATCACCCATCAGCCCCCCTCACATCAATCCATCACCACCACCATCACCACCACTACCCCACTCACCACACCACCACCACTCACCACATCTCATCCATATCACCACCATCAACACCCTCATCACCACCATCACACCACCCCTCACACACCATCAAACACCCACCATCACCACCACTCTCACCACCATCATCACCACCATCAACACCATCATCACCACCACTCCATATCACCACCATCATCACCACCATCACCACACCATCATCACCACCATCAACACCACCATCACCACCACATCATCACCACCCCATCACCACCATCATCACCCCCATCACCACCATCATCACCACCATCATCACCACCACCATCATCCCCCACCATCATCACCAAACCCTCACAACCACCACCACACATCACCACCATCATCAAACCCCCATCAACACCACCATCATCACCACCATCATCATCACCACCATCATCACCACCATCATCACCACATCATCACCACCATCATCACCACCATCATCACCACCATCATCACCACCATCATCACCACCATCACCATCACCACCATCATCATCCACCACCATCATCATCATCATCACCACCACTCCCTCACCACCATCACCACCACCATCACCACCATCACCACCACCATCACCACCACCATCATCACCACCATCACCATCACCACCATCATCACCACCATCATCATCACCACCATCATCACCACCACCACCACCATCACCACCATCATCACCACCACTCCCTCACCACCATCAATCATCCATCAGGGTACATAAGCCGCTCAGTGGTAAAAACTCGTAAAAAACGGGAGATGGTCAGTTTTAAGTTCTATGGTCAATATATGACCTGAGAAATTATTATTGTTATTATTATTATTACGAGAGTCAGATGGAAGAGGGTTACCTATATGATGGTTTAAATATCCGTATAATGACACTGGTAAACTACTTCCTGTCAGCATCTTCTTTTTTTTTTGGGGGGGGGGGTTCTCACACAAGATATGACAAGGTTAGGTTAACTGCATTTAACTGTATTCTTTTGTACTTCTTTGTATCATGTTCAAATAAATAAATAAATAAATAAATCCCTATCTTTATCTCTCTCATTTTCCTATGGCTTCTCATTTACTATATCTCGTGTTATTTCCCATTTTCCTTCTCATTTTCCCCCCCTCATCATCAGGGTAGACTAAAGAAACAATCTCGTCCGCTATATTCATCTTGGCACACCGACATTCTCCCTCCCCCTCCTCTCTGTAACTAAAAAAAAACACTCGTAAAGTTCTAATACCATTATATTACAGGTAAAACAACGATACAATGATAGAGCGGCACGTATAATGAAGCCACTCTTTTTTTAATTCACGTTATAATGATCGACAAACAAGAGGACAAACTCCCGTGTTAGTTCAAATTTTACAATCTAAATATTTTACCAGACCAACTTTCCATCAGACGTCAAGTGCCTTTATATATATATATATATATATATATATATATATATATATATATATATATATATAATATATATATATATATATATATATATATATATATATATATATATATATATATATATATATATATATATATATATATATATATATATTTTATATATATATATATATATATATTAATGAAATCACGAAACAAGTGATTTTAAATAATTTATCAAATTGATTTAAAATCACTCATCGATACCATGCCTAACCCTTCTAGGGTAGGGTAGGTGCCTGAGCCCGAGCCTTTAGCTCATAAGACTGTCATTCCCATTTGCCCCCTTGGGGCGGGGATGGCAGACCAGAGAGGCCTAGCTTGTGGCTAGGCCTGGGGACAGTTGGTCCCAAAGATGAGGAGGTACTTGTGCCTCCTCCCATGGGAGACTTAGGTCTCAGACGCTCCCTAAATATGGAGCCAAGGCCGGGCCACCACTTGGAAAAGGCCTGGGCCGGGAGAATGCCGGCTAATCTTTAATAATAAATAAAATTAAAATCACTTGTTTCGTGATTTCATTGCTATGTAGACTGCTTGTTAAGGCGGGTAATCAAACAGGATGAGGCTGAAATTAATCCTTGAGATACCACAGCCACGAGTGTCTTCGGACCAAGACAGAAAACACACAGCTACGTGCTGCGTTCTTGGTTCTTGTAGGATCACTGGCTCTGTGGTAAGGTGATGCGTGCATTGTGCTGTCCTGGAGGCGGTACAAGGTTGGTAGGGTCGAATCCTGGCCTGCCGCAGTTTAGTAAAAAAAAAAAAGATATATA